TAAACGAATCTACAAGAGTTTAAGGATAACAGTTTGTAGAAAAAAGGGTATGGATACAAATACACACAAAATTTCACTTTTTAAAATCTATTATTGATAAAGAATATTAATACAGAATTTACAGATTGTTTGCGGAATAAGATAAAATACAGAATTTATCTAAAAACAATCTAAGAAACACACAAGATACAGAAAACAAGAAAGAAAAGACTTACTAAAAGAATAAGTAATAACTTTGCTAGAGGAAGAGCTTAGTTGGTGTTCCTCGCTTGAAGTAAACATAACTTTGCAAGGTTAAGAAGTTTGTGCTTGTGAGGATGTCTCTTCTTAGGTATTTGAAGATCTGAAGACTCTTTGAAGAGAAGGGACTTCTCAGCTATTTATACCCATTGCATTAAATGCAAATCAGACAGTACAAGGCACGTGACAAGCTTCTAGAGGGGGATATAGCTACCACCATCAGTGGTGGTGGTGGTGGTGGATGGGGAGGGTTAAAGGTAAATTGTTAATAAGTTGCATTTGATAAGTTGGGGGGGAGGGATTGACATATCAAAAACTGCTTATTACCGGTTTGATATCGGTATAAGAAATTTTATTTCTTCCTCATTCGAACACTTAGAATGATTTATTATCGATACCAAACCGGAATAAATCAATAAGGAGCTTTCATAAGCAATCTCAAACACCCTTTAGATGGAGCCGTGAGTGGGATTTTGGAAAAAAAAATGATTACTCTTTGTTGGTTTTGCATATTGGTGAGATTTTTGGTAGTGACATTTAAACATTGTATTGATGATATTTGGGTTACATAAGCTTTGTTTTTCCACCAACTGTCTTTAACATTATTTATATATGTGTTGGAACAATGCATCGACATCAAGAAAACGTTGGAATGCCCATTACCATTATGAGCTAAATCCATTTCAAGGTCGTCTCGACGTGAAAACCCATATGTGGTCCGGTTTTGATTTATTTTTATTAGTTGACTTCGGTTTAATTTGCCCAATAAATTGTAGACATATATCATTTGGGACAGAATGTGACAGGTCTTTTGTCGGGGTTTAACGCTTAATATATGATGTATTTATGTGTTTAAATTAAACGTGTTTTAGTTATTGGTTGACATAACTTGAATAGTCCATTGGTATCCTCCCAACATACTAAACATAATAACGTAGGTGGGAGGACGGTTGGTTTGGATAGGCATGGATTATGTCGGGGGTTGGATTGATCCCTTAACATGTTTGTTTTGACTATGCATTTAAAATTGAACGTTGCGTGAAAATTAGTCGAATTAGTTAAACACCTGGGTTAGTAACTGGGTTAGTAAGAGACGATTGACCTTGACTTTTTCTTATCTTTAGAACTCGTTTTTAAATTTCTTCCTTCTAAGAAACAAGACTGTACTGGATAGGACCTCCGTCTCACAGTGAAGGCTTTTAATAAAGTTCCAACAATAACCTCCATTCGGGATTTGGGGTTGCTCTCATGCAACTGAAAATTTTAGGATAAGAGACTAGAACATATGACCTCACATACAAAAAGACGAGAAAGTAACCAACGAATCAATAATGATTTTGTTAAAAATATATATGCCTTAGTTTTTTTATAGTCAAATGGCGTAACTACTCGGAAAAATTTAGGTTCCCCTTTGCATTGATTGCAGAAAGACTCCCATATTTTGTACTTAGATGATAGGGGTGAGCAGCGTAACCGGGTACCCGACTATGGAACCGGAACCGCCTTGGAACTGCCGGTTCCGGAACCGGAACCGATATGAGTGGTTCCGGTTGCGGTTCCTAAAATACGGAACCGATTGAGAATGGTTCCGGTTCCGGTTCTCAATTTTTCGGAACCGTTACCTGCCGGGTACCCGGTATTTTTCAAGTAAAAAATAATAATTATTTTTTAATACCAAATTTATATTAGGTTTACATCTTGAAAGCACGTCGTCATCTTCATTATTCATCTAAATTCTCCATATAAAATGATTCGTATTTTTTCAAATTGTGTATYCACTTGGATTCATAGTATGTAATCGTTAAAATTTGAACATTTACCATTATAGTATGTAATCGTTAAACTTTGAACATTTACCATTATAGTATGTAATCGTTAAACTTTGAANATTTACCATTATAGTATGTAATCGTTAAACTTTGAATATTTTCTATTAATCTATTATAGTTTGTAACCGTTAAACAATATTTGTAACAATTATTCTGTATAATTTGTATTCTTGCTTATTTATTTAGTGTTTTGGCAATGTTTTATTTTTTATTTCTAAATAATAAAATTTTAATATTTTAGGAAGCAGGTACCCGAAACCGGAACCGGTTCCCGGCGGTTCCGGTTCCGGTTCCAAAAATTTAAGAACCGCTCTAACCGGTTCCGGTTCCGGTTCCAATATCTCAAGAACCGCCAGTTTCGGTTCCTGTCAAAAAGGTCGGGTACCCGCCTATGCTCACCCCTATTAGATGATGACGAAAACATCTCACAGACGTCTATTAATCAGATAAATTTCATCAACAATAAATTAGTTTTCTCTAAAACACAAATAACTTCGTTTCTAGATTGAGTGTATATAAACAATTTAAAATAATACCAAGAAAACAAATTAACAACATGCATTCGTCTTATAGGGGTGTTAGAAGAACGTGTAAATACAATACGTAGGTGACGTTAGTTTTTTAAGAGGTGCTGAAAGTTAGAGTCTTATTTCACTTTTGATTAATAAAAAGTGATGCTGAAGTCTGAAATTTGAATCAATAAGACTGTTTGTTTTTGTAAATTGATTACTTTTCTGAATTTGTTTAAATTATCTATTTTACCGATTCAAAATTTATACAATTTCACATATTTATTCGTCATCATTACGAAATTTATATTTAAATTATATAATTAACATTCATTTAAATGAAAATATGTTATTAACGGTATTTAACACATTTAAATTATATTAAAATACACCAATTGAGAGATGTGAGGATCAATTTGGTAATGATCAATTGAGAGGAAACATCGTTGCAAAAAGTTTCGAGAACAATAAGAAACAAATAAGAGGTTGGTTTACTTTTTACCAGATAAGATGACGATAAAATATAAGTGTCTTTAAAAAATTAAAAAAAAAACAAACAATTTAAATGACTTTAATAACATGAATCAAAATCGAATTTTTTAATAATAATTACGAGTTTAGTAAAGGAGAGAATTTTTTATAGTTTATAAAAAACATTATAATTATAACTTCTTCAATCAATAAAACAATAAATTGTTGAATTTTTTAAATTTGTAACGACATTTTTAAGCCAAAAAAACGCCGCTGCCGGGGATCGAACCCGGGTCACCCGCGTGACAGGCGGGAATACTTACCACTATACTACAACGACTCTTGTAAACAGATTTGAGTATATCGGTTAATAAATGTTATATTAATTCATAAATTATCTTATTTATCGAATTTTTTTTTTGACTTATGAAAATAAATTTCTAAAATATGCATTAATTATTTAAAAACCATGTAGATATTAAATAATTATTTTCTTGTTAAGACTATAGAGTAGTGATGGCCAAGCGGCCTGGGACCGATGAGGACCAAATATGAGACCGTCAGTTGTGCATTTTGTAGGATTTGTGGGACCGGGATCAGTTATGGACCAATTATGGCCTGGCCCGAAATTTCAAAAAAAAAGTCATTTTATAGCCGTTAGAGAGACGTTAGGGAGTCTTTTTTTTTTTTTTTTTTAGTTTTTGGCCTCAAAACATCATTAATACGTGTTTTGATTGAGATGTTAACATACCAAGTTCTCAATTTGTAAGACAATGTAATTTTAATTATAATAAAATGTATTTTTAAAGTGTATTTGAGTGACTTGTACAACAAATTTAATAATGTATTAAAAATATATATCCTTAAAAAAATTTAAAAAAATATTTTTTTTAATATTAGGACTGGTTGGGACCAGGACCCATAATTGGTTATAGAATGGCTTGACCGGTTTTCACCTTTTCAACCAGGACCGGTTATAGCCGGTTATGCACAACCTTGAGACCAATCGGGGCCAGTCCGGTCCAGGACCGGTTTTGGCCACCACTACTATAGAGTATAATATTAATCTTATAAATTGATTTATGTAATTACTATTAACTAAATAAATAAATTGTATTATTTATTTTTTATTAATTAATATAGTACAAATTATAATGTAATTGATGATGTGGTAGACTCATATTGGATACCATTTCTAAAAGATGTGGTGTTGTTTTTTGAACCAGCAGTCTGATTGACAAAAATGACCAGTCTACCTCTCAAAATGGATCAAGTGTTGTTTGATAATTGGTGTTTATTTTTAAAACGAAAACGTTGTTTGATAATATGTTGTTTATTTTCAAATTGAATGATATTTCTCAAACACAATAACTATTTGAACATCAAAATATAATATCATAAATTCATTGATATCATCAAAAAATATTAAATAAGTATTTTTAACTTTTAAAGCAAAAACCTTTTGAATCTATTGTTATCTGAGGTCCATACAAAAGTTCTTCAATACTATAAACGATTAAGGGTCCGTTTACCAAACACTTACTCGGGTAAGTTAACACCAAGTCACATCATCTTACCGAATGAATATGGTAAGGACCAAGAATCTTACCCAATTAGAGCGAGACAAGGACCAAGAGTCTTATCCGGTAAGTGAGAGTGACGACTCTTACCATGGTAAGCGCTTACCGGGTACATTGTTACATACGATATCGTTTTGGTGGACTAAAACCTTATCCGATAAGTAAATGATATTATTAAATTCATAACATAACAAATCGAGTCATAACGACCGGCATAATGCTTTTATTTAGTTAATTAATGAAGATGGACAACACAAAGGTATTGAAACATTAGAAGTTAATTATAAAAAAAATACACATAGCTTCGATACTTTTTTGCACAAATTCATTGATGCCCACTTCTGTTGTAGCATTTATTTCTTGTTAAAGAATCAAGAATTACGAGATTTGACGATGAAATTTTGGCGAGTGAGAGGGTTTAGGACGACCGGTGGTCCAGCAGTGCGAGGCCATGCGCTTTTCATCTTCTCGGTTTCCTCTTGCCATTCCTTGCACATTGTTCTCGGAGTCTTACCTATTCAAAACATGCAAATATATGTCTATCATCATATCATTTTCCAAAAGATAAACACAAAAACATAAATCAAAATCATCGTCAAACGGTACCTAAAAAATGTTGTTGTTATTCATTGAATTTGAACACCAAAATATATATATATATATATATATATATATATATATATATATGAAAATACTTACCTCCAAACAACTTTTTATCAGAAATGATATAGTCTAATGAGAATGCAAGCACAAATGTTCCTGCGACTGAACCAATTATCTTAGCCATCTTTCTTCCAAATTAGCTGGGAAAAAACAACAAATTAAACACAAATCATTATACAATAATATGGATTGTTACAGTTTACGCTAAAACATATAATCAAACAAATTGATTACAAGAATCGATGTGAGTAATTATCGTCTCAAACAAATTCGGGTCATTTTCATCATAATTTGTAAAATCATTGCAGGTTAAAAAGGAGTGTATCATATCAATATAACAAAACGTTCGAAATTTACACTCACCAAAATGGTGGGTGAGTGAAGAGGAACTAATTGAAGGAATTTGTACGTTAAAGCAGTTTGATCTACCATAAAATACAGATATAAATACAAAATGATAATATATATATATATATATATATATTTGTTGATATGAACTTGTCAAAATGCATCCTCCATGGCCACAACAACATCCTTATTTGTCTCCCTACATCCATCTAAGTCGTCCATTGATTTATTCAAAAACCAAATCTTACAAAAATAAAAATAAAAACCCAAAATCCTTTAAGAAATTTATATTAACACATTTTTTTTCATTTGATGTTTTATCGTAATTTTTTTTTTGAAGAATATTTATTTTAACATCGTAAATACTGTAATCCTTTAACCCAACTAACATCGTAGTGCCGAGTCCAAAATTTGAGCATTTTGGAGTCCGCCACATATAAACCATAGAGCGTGTTGCTGACACGATCACAAACAGTTTTAAGGGATGTGTTCTATTAAATTATGATTTTATCATATTTAAACATACCCTTTAACCTCTATAAATAATGTAAGAAATGGAACACTATTAGAACTATCATATCATTCTATCAATACGTTAATGTTGTTTTCTCGAAACAATTTTACGATGGAGGAGAAAAGGGAGGTGAAGAGGAGGAAAGTAAGAAAAACTCGTGTTCTCAAAACTCTTTTTCCGAATGTGGGAGGAAGAGGAAGGAAATGAAATGAAAAAAAAATTAGAACCCCTTAAAAAGTTATTAAAATTACAAAACTACCCAACCTTACATAATAAAAGAACATATTTTTAAAGGGTATATTTGTAAAAAAAAAAGACATTTTCTTTCCTTTGTCTCATATTCAAGAACATGTTGTTTTTTTTCTTTTTCTTTTCTTCTTGATTGATATCGTCACCTTGGAATCTGCCTCCACTAATAACGACACCTATTCTTCTTAGGTAATTAGTTTTAACTAGTTTTAGATTGGACTGAACAAAGAACCTATATTTATAAAACATAGAAAAGTAGAACCAAATCTTATGTTATAGGTTTTGGTCTGGTTTTCAGTTCAAAATTGATTTTTACACACCCTAACATCTACTTGATCGTAATTGAAAATCTATCCAACTATTTTCCGAAAAGAAAAGTTACCATTCAACTAGTACAATATTGAGTTTGATTTCTTTCAAACTATTTTTTCAAAATTTATCTATCGTTTGTCGTTTTATGAGTTTGATACACATAACTTGTAAATCAAAGTTAACGAAATAAAATCGTTAGTATTTCAATTCATTATTTTTTTCAATTTGTTCTTATGCAAAAATAAAAAGATGAAGTTGAAAGGGAATAATGGAATCATATTGACCAAAATAAAGTGTCAAGTACATTGAAACAAGTATAATCGTGTTTTTTTATACACGAGTACATTATAAATTCCGTCCATGTTGTTTCATGAAAATTACAAAAAAGGCATCTAACCCTGAAAAATTATGGTTAGGGTTCTTATAATTTCATTTTTGTTAAGGATCCAGTCCCATTCCCCTAACTTTGTTAAAGTTGAGTCCGTTAACCAGGACCACATTAGTCATTTTACCCTTACTTTTAATAAACAAAAAACCCAAACTCTCCTTCTTTACTCCTCCCCTCAATCCGGCAATCCTTGGCGTCCTCGTTCCCCCTACATCACCAACCTAAACCCTCTACACCTCTTCTGGTGTCTTTAATGAATGTACCAAACCCACAATGTCTTCGGAGATTGGGACCCTTCCCCGCTTTCCATTGATGTTCCAACCCACTGCCATTGATGTGCCTAAAAGAAACAATGAGTTTAATTGGAATTCATTTGTTTGGAAGAGAGTTAATCAAATCAACTGTCATTGATGCTTTGGAATAAAGTGAATCAAATCCAACCCCCTTCTATTTTTGTTATAAAAAAATTGTTTATGTTTTTTTAGGTTATAGATTCAACGATTTACCCAAAAAAATGCAAATGCATATCTGGTCTGGGTTTGGTTTGGTGTTTTTCTTGGTTTTGAAAATGGGTTAAGTGTTCTCTTTGATGTTACAGATGCGGACCCAGAAGAATGGTTGTCGGTAATGTTTGGGGATGAAGAGGGCTTGTGATGCAACAGAAGTCGCGGAAAGGGTCGACAGACGTCTAAACCTTAGAAAACAACGAGCTTACAAACGTAATCACTCGAAAAGTATGAGAAACTCTTATAGAGACAATTCAAAAGTGATCCAAACAAACTAATACTTGAAATATTTAAATAAGACTAAGCATCCTATCTAGACTAGGAAAGAAAAGACTAAATAATTATCTAGACTAAAAAAAAAAGAATAATTAAGGAATGTTGCACAACACCCAAGCCAAATGCGCACATGGCTTTTTCTGCAGACTAAGGCACGTGGAAGGTTACGGGACTTGCTGTTGATTTTGTAGTGAGTTGCACGGCTTGGTGCGTGACCCAAGCCTCGTGGAAGGTCGTGGGAGGGATGTTCGATTTGGTCTCAGTTTCAGTTCTCTCCGTATTAGTCCCCTCCAATTTAGAGGAACTCGACCTCAAGTCTCGTCTAAATAAATGGCTTCCTGAGCATGATATTCATATGTACGCGACGTTGAAGGTATTAAAGATGTGTAGTGAATCCGGTAAAGGGACGACATAGGCATCATCATTGATTTTCCTTAGAATTTTGAAAGGGCCATACTTCTGAGGTTGTAGTTTCTCGTAGGTGCCTATGGGATATCGTTCTTTCCTTAAGAACACTATTACATCATCTCCTATCTTGAAGGTTTTCTTCCTTCGATGTTGATCTGACACAACTTTATTCTTTAGGCCCACGACCTCAGTTTTGCTTTAATGGCCTCCTTGGTTGCTTGAATATCCTTGGCCATCTTTGTAGTTGCAACATTGACTTTTAGGAGTCGAGGATGTTTCACCATATCCAAGACACGTTTGGTATAGAAGTGTAAACCAAGGAAAAAGTGAACAACACGTTGTTGTGTGTGTTGTGTTGTTATAGGCTAACTCAATTTGAGCCAAGGCTTGGTCCCATTGTTTGGGATTATCTCTGCAACACTTCTTAGCATGTTTCGCAACATTTGGTTGGTTACTTTCGTTTGTCTGTTCATTTGAGAATGAATAGTGCTACTCTTGTTGTGGGAAGTCCCAAATAGCGTCCATAAAGTGATCCAAAAATGGCTTACAAACTTTGTATCTCGGTCAGACGTAATCGTCTTCAGGACTCCAAGTATCCAAGCAATTTCTTTAGAGAATAATCATGCAATGTAGCTTGCATCGGAAGAACAACAAGTGACAAAATGGACCATTTTGGAAAATCTATCAATTACTACAAAAATTGAGTTGACTCCCCTTTGTATACAGGGTAGCCTGGGGACAAAATCCATAGAAAGGTACTACCAAATGTCATTGAGGACTGGTAGGGGCATGTAGAGACCTATGTTTTGGGAGTTACTTTTGAAGTTTGACATTGGTAGCATCATTGAACAAGTGTGCTTGTATCCCTATATAGGCGGGGCTAGAAATATATTTCTTTGAGGCTTGCAATGGTTTTGTCTCGCCCCAGATGCTTGCTAAGCCCTCCACCGTGTATGTCTATGGTGATCTTTTCTCGTAAGGAAGGGTGTGGAATGCATAATTGATTACCATTTAGGAGATAACTGTCTTGGGGGTGTAATAATAGCCACTCGGAATGCCCCGATTACATTTTGACCGTATATCCTTGAAGTCTGGATCTTATTTGTACAGTTCTTTAAGGGCCTTGAAACCCACGATCTCCAGTGCAAGTGTAACTAGTAAGGTGGCTCGTCGGCTTAGAGCATCCACAACTTTGTTGAGGGAGCCGGACTCGTGTTGGATGACAAATGGAAATTTTTGTGGAAAGTTTATTCACCGAGCGTGCACTTTGTTTATGGTTTTCTGACTGTTGATGAAGTTGAGTGCTTAGTGATTAGTGAAGAATATGAATACCTTTTGTATGAGATAATGTTCCCACTATCTTATGGATCGTAGCACTAAATAAAGTTCTTGGCCGTAGATGCTCCAATTTTGTCTTGCCTTACTTAATTTTTAGCTGAAGAAAGCAATTGGTCTTCTTTTTTGAGACACGAAATATCTGACGCTTATGCTGCTGGGATGACATTCGACCTCGAAAACTTTGTCGAAGTCTGGTAGGGCTAATACTAGTGTTGGTAGGGCTGTAAACGAACCGAACGTTCAGCGAATCATTCGTGAACCGTTCGGCGGGAAGTTCGTTTATTTAATAAATGAACGGACATGAACAGGTTTTTTTTCTTCATTTAATTAAACTAACGAACATGAACAAGAGCCTCGTTCGTTCATTTATGTTCGTGAACGTTCATTCATTTACCGTTCGTTTATATATTAAATTTAATATATAATATTTTGTTTATTTACTTCAATTCAAATAATATTTATTTATATTCGTTTAGCCCATTCGTTTATGTTCGTTCGTTTACGTTCATTTAGCATGTTAACGAACGAACATAAACGAACACGAACACACCTGATTTCTAAACGAACGAACACGAACATAAAGATTTTTGTTCGTTTACCATTCGTGTTCGTTTGTTTGTTCGATTAAGTTAAACGAACGAGCATGAACAAGCCTCCGTTCGTGTTCGTTTACAACCCTAAGTGTTGGGCATAGTTTCTCCTTGATTAGTGTAACACCCTAAAAAATATAGTAATAAAAAAATATATATATTTAACGAAAACTAGAACTTGGCATAAAATTCACC